TAGTATTTCTTTGAACACGCTTTCTGCTCCATTCTCTTTCTTTTCTTCTTCTTGAATACCTATAATTCTGATGTTGCATTTCCTCATTGAGTCAGATATTTCTCGGAGACTTTCTTCATTTCTTTTTTAGCCTTAGTTCTCTCTCCTCCTCTGTCTGGAACATTTCAACATGTCTATCTTTGATTATGCTGATACACTCCTCTATGATGTTCACTCAAGCATTCAGGGAATCCGTATTTTGTTTTATCTCTTCCATTGCGTCTTTCATCTCTAATCTTTTTTTTTTTAAATAATTTTTTTTAATATATTTTTTTTCTGCTTTATCTCCCAAACTCCCCCGTACACAGTTGTATGTCTTAGTTGCAGGTCCTTCTAGTTGTGGGATGTGGGACGCCACCTCAACATGGCCTGATGAGCGGTGCCATGTCCGCGCCCAGGATCCGAACCCTGGGCAGCCGCAGCGGAGCGTGTGAACTTAACCACTCAGCCATGGAGCCTGCCCCTCATCTCTAATCTTTCTGTTTGATTCTCCTTTGTAGTTTCAATTTCTTTTGTGAAGTAGCTTGTGAACTTGTTGAATTGTTTCTCTACATTCTCTTTTACCTCATTGAGTTTTTTGATGATAGCTATTTTGAATTCATTGTCATTTAGATTACGTATTTATGTGTCCTCAGAATTGAATTATGGGTGCTTGTCATTTTCTCTGTGGGCTGGAGATTTAATATAGTGTCTGATGTTGTTAGTTGAGGTGGGTCAGGTCTTTTGCATTCTGGTATTATTTGGTTGCAGTTACCACCTATCACCATTGGATGGTGGTCAAGAGCTGCATATTCTGAGTCCTACACCTTCACCCAAAATCCCAGGCAGTGGAGCAGGTGCGGGGCAGGTGGAGGGAGGGGTGCTTTCTCCTGCATGGTCTGTGGGCTTTCTCATTCTCACTAACTGGTCTCCTGGGGTGTGGCTTGATGAGGTCACCTCCCCTTGAAAGCTCTTGCCCCATTAAAGGGCTTCCATCTAGGCTGCAAGGGCCCTGTGGAGTCCTTGTTCCTGCAAATGAGTGTCCCCTTCCCCACTCCTTCCCTCACGAATCCTCCCATGGTTGTGATCACAGTCTTTAGGGGAGGGAGCGAAGTTCTCTCTTACCCCATTCCAGATCCTCCAAGGGGGGCTTCAGCCTCGCCACCCTCCATTGTGTGGCTGCGTGTTTCTCTGACCTGTTTGTGTTGTGTTAGGATGTCCTCTGTTGGAGTATGGATGCCCCTTTTCATTGTATGTTGGAGGGAGAGAGTCCTGGGCAAGTTCACTCCACCATGATGCTGACATCACTTTCTGGAGAATAGTTTTAATGACTATATATAATGCAGTATGAGGTGTGGATTGGGGATGGTTTTGATTGGGGAGATAATTATTTCAGTTTTTGACCCATAAGTAGAGAAATGGAATAGGAAGTAATTTTAAAGGTTTGTAATTTAAGAGAGAATTCTTGACAGGAGATACAGCTGTGTCGATAGTCAGCTTATGTGAGATAGTAAGATGTAGCAAGGAAGCTGATCATTCGAGGAGAGTTGGCAAAAAGAAGTGAAAAAAGAAGAAGGCCTAAATTATACCAATATTTAAATGCCTTGCAGAAGAAGAGGAACCAGCAAAACAGATCAGAAATAAAAATTAAAAAGGTAGAAAACTTAGGAGTATGATATTACTGCGGCCAGGTAAGAGGTGAGTTACAAAAACAGATTGACATTGCCAGATCAAGCTTGGAGGCCAAATATGACAATGTGCAAGTGACTATTACTTAGTGATTTAATAGTCAACTGATAATTGAATGCTAGTTAGACCAGATAGCTTACTTAGTCCTAGAGATATAGGATAAAGAGAGAGTCATTAAACTTGGTGAGTTTATGTTGCAGTGGGGAAGGTAGACCAATAATGGCATTATAGCATAAGCTTGTTAATAAAAAAGAAAAAAAATCAAGATTTAGTATGGAGAAACTTTATTTGAAAGGATTACTGCAAGAGTGGGAAAGGGGCTGTTGCAAATAGGGAGAATGTTCTGACTTTAAGATCTGCAGACATCATAAAATACAGGCAAAAAGGTTTTTCTTTTATAGGGAGGAATAAACACGGCTGGGAAGATCTAGTGTGGGTAAATAGGATGAAGGGGAGTGGCGTGATCTCACACTAGATCACAGAAGGTTTTACCCTGACAGTAGCCCGTTCTCAGGAGGGGCTATTAAGAAGGTGTCTGTGCTGTCTCAGGGTGAAAGTGGGCCAAAGTTCAGGGGCCTAGGGGAAAGAGAGAACCTTAACCAAGTTTGGTTAACAAACATTTTGTTCTGATTGGTCAGTGGGGACAAAGCAGTTCAGCTAATTATTAACAGGCAAAGACTGGGAATTTAGATGGTCTGTGTCAGGAACTTGTCAGAGGTAAACAAGGGGGGCATTCATGGGTATTATCTAAGTAATATAGGGGAACGGCGCTTCTTTGCAGTAAACCATTTCCTGAGACAAAGGCATCAGGAGAATTCTTAACCTTTACTGTTTTCCAGGATCACAGGACTCAAGTAAAATTCAACATTGTCGAGTGTGACAAATGGGTTATTGCACAGGATAATATTATAGAAGGATATTGAACTCAGATCAATATAAAGAAAGGCTTCTTGGAGGAAAGAACTGAGTCTTGAAAAGACTAAGATAGACAAGTAATTGAGAAGGGCAGTCAAGAAACTGGAATGTCATCTGTAAAAAGCACTGGGGTTTGGTTATGAGGTAATTTTCACAGGGGTAAGTGGTTGGATATTGTCAGAGTGGAAGGTATTATATGTAGGGTGAAGGAAAATGAGATTGAAGTGGTAAGAAGAAACTAGATCAAAGATTTTGTGTACCAATTCAAGAAATTTGTAATTTATCTTTCAATGATGTGCCAGTGAAATATATTAAGCAAGGATGCCATATGGTCAGATTTGCATTTTGGAAAGTTCACTTTAGCAATAGTACATATTATGGTTTGGAGGGAGAGGGGGAAGGGGGATTATTTCAGATATTAGGTAGGACATTTTTAGTAAGTTAGGGAAGCAGTGATAAAGATGTGCAATAAAGTGGTGACAGAGAATAGAAGAAAAGGGAGAGGTCAGACAGATATTTGAGATGTTGAATATACTGGGCCTAGCAACATTTGGATGTGAAGAAGCATGAGAGAAAAGAGAGCCAAGAATGGTTCCAGGGTTTCTGCATTAGGTAACTAAGGGCACTTGTACCACTCACTAGAGCATATGAGAAAGCAGATTAGGGAGGAAGATTCATGTTTGGGAAAGTTGAGTTTAATTGGAGATCAGTTTGACCGTATAGTTCTGTAGCTTAAGAGAGAGTTCAGGCCTGAAGCTAGAAATCTGTGAGTCATCAGCACATAGATGAGTGTTGAAGCTGTAAATTTGAATGCAATCACATGCAGAATGTGTTCAGATTGAAAAGAGACAAATGGAGAAAATCCTTTCAATATGACCTTAAGCAGAGTATGGATAGGTCTTTAAAAAGTCCAGAAGTAAACAAGATTTATGTAAGGAAAACTAGGAGGAATGGTGTACAAAGGCCAAAGGAAGTGTTTCAAGGAGGAATGTCCAATGATAATTTTGTAAGAAAAGTACCAAATAGGATGGTAGGGTTAGAAGCCAGTGGAATGAGTTACAGGAAGGGAGAAGGTGGGGGCAGCAAATGTGGAATTCTGTTTCAAGAATTTGGGCTCTTAATGAAAGTTAGATACAAAGGATAGAGGTTGGGATATGTGTGATTATTTGTGTGTGTTTTAAAGATGGCTGAGGCTACATCATATTTATAGGTAAAGGGATAGTGACCATAGAGGGGAAGTAATTGAAAACAGAGGGAGATGGGACCCAGCAGTGATGGAGTGCCAATCTTGGACAGGAAGTGAGATACTTCTTGTTTTATGATTGAGTAGAAGTCACTTATACTCAGTATTTATAGGAGTATAGTTAAATGGTAATATAGTTAAATTTGTAGAGAATGGAGGAGAGTTAGTTGATGGAGCTAAGACTTGATGGCCCTCTTTTTTCTGTGAAAAGGAAGCAAGATGTTTAGGGAGCTCTAGGGAAAGGGTTTGGAGAGTATTGAGAACAGTATTGAAGGTTTGCGATAGCTCCTGTTGGAAATGGAACCAAGTGAGGGCCAGTAAAGAATTTGCTAATTAGCAATGAATGTTCGCAAGTATAAATCTGAAGTAGTACTAATCTGCAAGGCTTTGTGATTTTTTTTCTAGCAGTATGTAGCTGATTGAGTGTAAAGGAGGAAAAAAATGTATGTTTTTAATGTGATGAGGTTGGTAATTTTCAGGCTAGGTGCCTTACAAACAGTGTAAATTTTAGGTTTTTAATGCTTAACCCTTACATTCAAAACTAAGTAAAGTGGCTTTATTTCTAACTAGTCAAATGATCAATAGGATATGTGGAATCTGTGATCCCAAATCTAAAAATTTGCAGAAACCAAGATCTTAGAGGTAATTTCTTTAAAGACAACATAGAATATATTTCCCCCAGGGGAATGTGCTGTTTTCCAGTAAAAGTGTCCGACATTCTAGTTAAGCTGCAACAAAATTTTGAACTACTGTAAATTATTTTATAAATGTAACATGTGTCAGTTTTCTCTAAGGGGAACTTAGAATACTTTTAGAGTTTCATTGGAGACCTATTCATGGGCTACTTTTCAGAAATCAACATGATTACGGTCAAAATTTTATACCTATGATATCACATTGAGAGAAGAAGATAGAATGGAGAAAACTGTGTTTTGTGTAGAGAATTGAAATTATTTGGTGCTACTAATTCCTGATATTCTGTTCTTGATTTAATAAAATAGTTATTTTTTAACTCTTAGCCTATAAGACAACTGTAAACATCTTAGTAATTTATACCATCAGACTATCAAGTTTAAAATGTCTTTTGGAAATACCTTCATGAAATGTAAATATAAAATATGTTTTCTTTTTACAGGGATCAACCTATGAGGATGAAATTAATAATATTAAATATGTTATTTCAAAAATTAATGAAATCATGGCTCATAATTCCCCAGTTTTGATTGTTCAAAGGTGGATACGTGGTTTCTTAGTTAGAAAACATCTGAGGTATGTTTTAGTTTTTTACTATTTGAATATTAAGATAAGATGATAGTAAATCAGTGATAAAAAGATAATTCTCCAATAATATACATTCCCTATCAAAATGATATTTTATAGACTATTTGAACTAGTTTTAAGGAAAACACCACATGCTCTGTAGTAATATATTTTGATATTTAGCATAATCAAAATTTGATACTTTTATTTTTTCTTTTAAATTACCCATATAAATAACTAATCAATAAAGTTTTTATTAATCCTTCTTTGAGTAATTCTGACAGGTTTTTTATTAAACTTAAAAATATAAAAAATATATACATTAAACTTATCTCATGTAATGGGATGTAATAGAAATATAAGCCATATACTATATAATGGGTTACAATAGAACTATAAAGCAGGAAACAGATATATGAAGATTTTATATTTTTTCTGGATGTGAAGATAATTTTCCTGGAACATCTGCTACCACATCAGTCTACATTATCCTTTGGTTAATTGTCTTTTCCTCTCTTTTTGTCCCTTGCATTCCTTTCCTGTAGCTGACATTTGCAATAGAGGGAAAGTTTTCTTGCTAGAATCTCTCAATATTGTACTTGGGGAGATAAGATAGGATGTTCTGTCATTAATTTATTTATACTAGTCATGCCAAACACCAAACATATGAAAAAATACCCTTCTTATATAGCTTGTTCTCAGATGCTAAATGGTAGAGTTCAGAAGACAGAAATGAAATTTGACCCTGCACTATAGGTAGCATTAAATAGGTCTGGGGTCGGGCAATAGACATTCCCTGAGAAAGCAAGATTAGGAAGCTTCACTGAACTGATATTCAACATTCTGTGGTAAGGCAGAGATAACATTCTCCTGCATTAGCTTGCACGTGCTAAATCGTAGAAGGCAATAGCCCTGATAGAGAGCAGAATGAGGGACAAGCAGCAAAACCGACCATAATACCGTGCCTGCAGCTTCTGAGGAAGAGGTTCCCTATACTTTTCAAACCAAGGTCAACCTGTGAGAGAGAGTGGGCTCACAAGTGGGAACAAGTGAAATGATTTGAAATAAAAGGTGTAGAAAAGGATTAGGCAGTTGTTGACAAGTACATATTTATTTAAAATGTTATTTGTGTCTCATATGTTCCATTTAAATTTAGTATATGTTTTATATGAAATAAACATCTAATTAAAGGGATTTGTCTTTGGTTTATGCCCCTGGGATTGAATTTTTCTCTCTTAAAATCAAGATTTCCTCTGATATTTGTGTGACATGAGATCAAAACCCTATGCATGGAAACAATCTCTGCAAATTCTGCGTGCGTGAACAGAATTTGAATGAGCTTTGTGGGGAGACCTGTCAGTAATAATGATGTATCACAGTGGTTTAAAACAGATCAATTTGAATTATTTTTCTCTTTAAAATACTGTTTCATTAGGCACATTACTTACCTACTTTGAGCATGAGTTTCCTCATATCTTAAATGGTACAGAGCAAGGGCTAATAGCAGCGCTTATTTCACTGTTTGCTTGTGGGAATTGAGATCATTAATATAAAGCTCATAGCACCTGGCAAATGTGGATATTACATTATTATTAACTGTTATTTTTTAAATATCATTTTTTTTTGTTGTTGTTATATCTTGTGCTCTTCACATTATTGACTCCATGGGAAATTTACTCTTTCCTTGGATTTCTTACTCCTTTCCAATTACATTTACCACAGCATGCACAGAGTAATCTTTCAAAAATATAAATCTAATTTTATTCACCAACTTAAAATCCTCCAATTGCTCTCAATTTACTTATGGCAAACAACTGGGATGTCTGCCCCTACAATGTGCATCACATACTTTCCTTATCATAAGCACTTACCATACTGTCCTGCAGTTGCGTGTCTAGTTATCTCTGTCTCCGGATGTACTGCACACACTGTATCTCTAGCATATCACAGAGTGCTTGATGCATGTTAGGTGCTCAAAAATACTTGCTGAATTGATGAATACACCAATTAATGGAGAGACTGTGGAAGCTAGAATCAGAAAAGGTTTTCTGGGTTCATCTGTGGGAAAGTGAAAATGGAAAGAACTGGGAAACATACAAAGCTGCCCTGAGGGGTGCCTATGGATCCCCACAACCTAAAGGTCCAAGTGATTAGTCCTCTCACATGTCTATTTCCATTCAAGAGAAATGTCTCCCCACACCCAAATATTTTCACCTTGCTTGAAATTTGTTCATGAAAACTGCTTGAAATTTTATATACAGCCTTGAAATATATACTGCCTAAATTTAGAAAATTATTATGATTAATGCTATTATCCTTTAAAGTGATAGTATTTATAATGTGGATGATATAGCGCAAGGGAGGTACACTTTTATTCTTAGAAGAAATTATTGTGATCAGATTGGCAGTCTCCTAAACCTTAGTAAGGGCAGCTATAAGAGGTCATAAGGAGGATTATTGGTTGGGTCAATGCATGTAAAAAAGGTAAAAGAGTGGAAAAAATAGGAAACAAACATTTATTGAATGTGCAGTATATGTCTAGTACTACGTTAGATACTTTAATCTACTTTAAATCATCGAATACAGCAGAGCTTTTGAGTTTGGCCTGTGTTTTCTATTTTACAGATGAAGAATTAAGAATTTAAACTTGGTTGGGAGGTTAGGATATGTATCCAATGTCAGACAGCTATTATGTATTGGACATTTGTCGTCAGTTATAAAGAGATGAAACTGTGTATGTCAAATCTGCAAAGGTCAGGTTCTTTTGTTTAAAATGTCCCAAAGTTTGTTCTCTTTTTACTTTTCTTTCTGTTTTCCTGGAGTCCGCTATTTTCTAAAGAGCCCTCATCCTTCTGGAAGGGAATAGTATTTGGAGACTAAGATGTGGGAACTAGATGTATTCATTGCTATTGGAGTACCATGGTTCCTAGGCCATTTCGGCAGACAGAATAGAAAATGGATTATTTTCTCCATCGTGAATTCATATGGATTCCTCTAACTCTAATCCAATACAGAGGGTTCTTCACTACCTTTCTTTGGAAATTTCCACATTATACTTCCCTTCTTCCACCATGTGAATTCTGGTTGCCAACATTATCAATAATTTTACTCATTAGCTTGCTTTTAATAGACACAAAATAGTTTCAGGATTGCTATACATAAACTACTATCAACAACAAACATATTCCATAAAGTTAAAATTTGTTGCAGGTTTCTTTGTCTTTAGTCTGGAGACATATATGTTAAAATAATTGTTGAATAGGTACCTAATGTTAAAGTATATTAGTTGTTTTTCTAATGATTTTATTTCTTTTTAATTTTTAAAATCTTTCTTATTTTCATCTGCTGTTTCTCTTAGGGCATTTTCTGTTCTGTTCATTATAATTATGCTTATTCTGGTTTAGTATGTATTTCTAAAGTGAGTTAAAATTCTGATTCTTGGGACCAGCCCAGAAGAGTAGTGGGTTAGTTCGCAGGCTTGTCTTCAGTGGCCTGGGGTCTGCGTTCAGGTCCTGGACGTAGACCTACGCATGGCTCATAAAGCTATGGTGTGGCAGCATACCACATACAAAGTACAGGAAGATTGGTAAAGATGTTAGGTCAGGGCCAATCTTCCTCACAAAAAAAGAAAAAAAGAAGAAAAAATTCTGATTCTTTTCTGAATCCCTTCATTGCATTTCTAAATTTGTCTAGTTCTAGTTTATGTGGTCGTGTATGATTTTTATCATTTTCTTGATACTTTTTAGTTCATGTTTTAAAAAATAAGACTTTATTTTATTTTAGAGCAATTTAAGTTACACAACAAAATTAAGCAGAAGGTGCAGGGATTTCCAATATACCTCCAGGCCCTACCCATACATAGCCTCCCCCATTATAAACATTCTCCAACAGATTGATACATTTGTTAAAATCAATGAACTAATATTGACCCAAAGTTCATAGTTTACCTTAGGATTCACTTGTGGTCTTGTACCTTTGGACGATATTGTGGGTTTGGATAAATGTGTAATGACATGTAGCCAGCATCATGGAATCATATAGTATATTTTCACTGCCCCCTAAAATCCTCTGTGCTCTGCCTAGTCATCCTTACCTGCCCTCTCTCTAACCCCTAGCAACCACTCATCTTTTTATTGTCTCCATAGTTTTGCCCATTCCAGAAGGTCATATGGTTGGAATCATAGAATATGTAGCCTTTTAAGATTGGCTTCTTTCACTTAGTAACATGCATTTCAGGTTCCTTCATGTATTTTCATGGCTTGATAAGCTCATTTCTCTTTAGAACTGAATAATGTTCCATTGTCTAGATGTAACAATTTCTTTGTCCATTCACTTACTGAACATCTTGGTTACTTCCAAATTTTGGCAATTATGAATAAAGCTGCTATAAATATCATGTGCAGGTTTTTGTGTAGACATGTTGTCAACACCTTTGGATAAATACCAAGAGGCATGATTGCTTTATTGTATGCTGAGAGTTTGTTTAGTTTTATAAGAAACTGCCAAACTATCTTTCAAAGTGGCTGTTACGTTTTGTATTCCCACCAGCAATGGATGAGAGTTCCTGTTGCTCCACATGCTCATCAGCATTTGGTGTTGTCAGTGTTCAGGATTTTGGCTATTCTAATAGATGTGTAGTGATATCTTATTGTTGTTTAATTTGCCTTTCACGATAACATATTATGTGGAGCATCTTCACATATGCTTATTTTCCATTTGTTTTTCTTCTTTGGTAAGATGTCTGGTAAATTGTTTGGCCCATTTTTAAACCGAGTTGTCTGTAATCTATAGCTTGTTTTCTCATTCTCTTGACTTTGTATTTTACAGAGCAGGCATTTTTAACGAAATTAAGATTATCAGTTCTTTCTTTCACGGATTCTGCATTTGATGTGGTATCTAAAAAGTCATTGCCATACCCAAGGTCATCTAGATTTTCTCCTACATTTTTTTCTAGGAGTTGTATAGTTTTGTGTTTCACCATTTAGATCATAGATCCTTTTTGAGTTGAT